AATTGACCACTTAGCACTTGCTATAAATTTATATCTTCAGGCAGTATTCTGATTGCAATACACAAAATACTTTGAAACAAACACAGAAATTCAGGTGAGACTTCCCATACGGAAGAGAATTTTACCTTCTATCCATTGCTGACAGGAGGGCATTTTTTCACTCAGTCTGTATAAACAAACCTAGTAATGATAAAGGGGCTCACTCTCCCAAAAGCTAGCCTATTGACTGTTTAGTCATGTATGCAGAAACTTCATCTCAGTGCAGCAAAGTTAAATAGCCCAGCAAGTGTTGAGGGGGTAAAGAAAATGAGCCTTTTCTACAAAAATCCAAAGGGAATTAAAGGGAGGACAAAAAGAGGAATGGGGTACAGAAGAAGGGGGCACAATTCATTTTGTTGTTCTTTCACTTAAAAAAAAGAAAACTACATCTTTTTTCCAGTCATAGAGCTGAGCTACGTGTAATATTTCACACCCATAGTCAATAGACTCTTTTGTGATCAATGAAAAGAAAGGCACACACATCTATAGGACAATAGTCTTTCATATGACAATTGGAAAGGACTTCCAGGTTGTTAGGCTGCTTTAGAAAGCACATTCTTAACACATACATTGAATTAATTTTAGCATTGAAATTGACATATTTAAAATTATCATCCATGAACTAATTGAGTTAACTCCTTCAAAAGTGTGGTGTGTCACTCTCGTGCCCTAGGTCAGGATCGCTCTGTTTCTCAGTAGAAACTCTACTTGGATATCCTTGCCTCTGGTTTTCAGCATACATGCCATGATGCGTCTGTATGTAGATTTCATTTCATATGTCCTGCCTGCCTGGAATTAATTGAACTCTTTGAGTCCATGAATTTGAATCTTCTTCATTTTTCTCTCCCTTCTTGCTATTTTATCTAAATGCATGGTGACCATTCTCATTCTACCCACTGGGTCTCTGACGTTCATTTTCAAAGTTTCCATGCAATTTGTTTATCCAGGCAAAACTCTGGACTATTATTTATAACATGTCTTCCGATTAATTGTTTTCTCAATTGTGTTTAGCCTTCTGTTTAGCCCAGCCACTCAGTTCTCAAGTTGCATTGTTAGTGGTCTGAGCTGTAAACCTCCTCTTCCATTCTTTTTCCAATTTTCTTTAACACGTTTGGTCATTTCATGTTCCCTGCAGATATTTTCAAGCTTCTTTTAGAATATAGTAAACCACAGCTATTTAGGGAGTTGAAGTTACAGACAGTTATAAGCCTGCTGACATGGTTCCTAGGATTGAATTCAGGTCCTCTGCAAGAGAGGTGAATGCCTTCAACCAGTGCTCTATCTCTCCAGCTGCACTTCATCATTTCTTGTCTTACTGTACCCTTCACTATGGTGTGGAAGTGCAGGGTGACAATGCAGCACTGCTCTCCTTGGGCTGTGATCCCTCATCCAACCTGGATTTTTAAAAAGTAAACATTTACTTTATTTCAGTATGATGGGCACATGATATGGTGTATGTGTGAAGGCCAGAAGACAGCTTGTGTGAGTTAGAGCTCTTACTCTGCCTTACCTTGAAATTTATAGCTCTTACCCTGTAAATTACAGGGATCAAATTTAGGTCCTCAGATATAGTGGCAAGTCCCCTTACCAACTGAGCTATCTCTCCAGGCTCAGCCCAAATGCCAGACAAATTAATTGGCTTCAGAAGTTGACTCCCCTGTGCTGGAACAATCTCCCAAACAAATCTATTCCTACCTGCTGGCAGTTGCCTGAATTTTCAGTCAAAGTGCTAAACAAAGTTTACAGGTACACTAATATATTGAGACAATATTTCATTCAGTACACATTGCAGTAATATGTATATAATTCTAGCTACATTTGGGGTGATATTTGGTCTTATGACTATGAAATTTCAAAAAACAAAAACATTACCTCGAAGAGTAGGTCCTTTTGAGATTTAAGGTCCAGAAATCAATCATTGACATCAACTTTTTGGCAATATCCGTAGTCACGGAGAAAACTAAGAACAAATGAGGACAGACCAATTAATTGCCTGCAGAAGCTGACTCTTGTGTGCTGGGACTATCTCCCAAACAAATCTACTCCCACCTGCTGGCAGCTGTCAGAATTTTCAGTCCACACTAAAATAGAAGGTGTTCCACAAGCAGGCAAACCTAAAGATAGGGTTTCTAGCTTTAATCTCTTTTCCTATGTGGTGTTGGGTCAATTTCTTTTCTTTCTCTGGACCTCAGTTTACCCATATTACAATCCAGTTAGTTAACCAAAAAGATATAGATCAATCCTACCTTTTGGTGACAAACAGAATCTCTGATCAGGAATGGTGTAATAGGACTCACAATAAGAGCAGGCTTGGCTGAGTTGTTCTAATATGTGATCATCAATGACATGTGGATCCTATCATTCCTTTTTTATTTCACGTCCATTTCCTGCAACGTGGTGGGGGGTGGGAAGGGGGGAGATATTTAAAAATGGAGGGAGGATCTGAGAGTAGTCTGCACTTTAGGAGGAGAAGGCATGAAAACTATGAAGAGTGAAATATTCTGTTTCTAAAATGCCTTTTCAAAAAAACAGTAAAGAGTTAAATTTGCTACTGTGCAAGACATTGAGCAAACCATGAGAGTACAGCTTTTCTGGGCTCAAGAAATCTAAAGTTGTGTCACTAGCTACTGGGGGAAAGCAGAAAGGGTGTGTTTCTATCTGAGTGCACCTAATTAAGGAAGGCTGCACTTGAGGCCCATTTTACTTCTGCCCTTCTCTATGGTGTGACTTGGGAGGTGCAATGCTAGTGAACATGATTTCACCTCTTTTGTTATCACTTGGCACAGCTGCTCTTGTGATGCTGCCTCTTTTTGAACTAACTCTGTCATGGACCAAGCTGAGATACAGGGGATAGTGTGAGGCCATTCCATAGCCTCCAAGACCCTTCTCTTCCAGGTAGGGGAAACAATAAAAGTCCCCTAACAAAAATCCTGGACTTTGGGAGCCCATTCCACATGGAGGGATACTCTCTCAGCCTGGACACATGGGGAAGGACCTAGGCCCTGTCCCTGATGAAATGTCAGACTTTGGAGATCCGCATGAAGGGCCTCACCTTCCCTGGGAAGTGGAGTGGGGATTGGGTGGGGGGTTGCAGGGCTGGGGGAAATGGGGGAGGAGGCGAGTGAAAGGGAACTGACTGGGATTGACATGTGAAGAAAGCTTATTTCTAATTTAAATTTTAAAAAATCCTGGACTTTTCCATGTGATGGCATTTGAACTCAGGTGCATCAGCACCTTCTGGTGCACATCTAAAACACTGGTTTTTACCTTCTTTTCTCCTTCAACTGTGTCATCCTCAATCCTAACTTCACTTCCTGACACAGCAATGAACTACACCTTAGTGAGACTAGCTGGTGAATATTTTCCACTCCCTGGATTTGTTTTTCCTAAGAACTCAAAGTTGAGGAGAATAACCCTTTTGGAAATTAGGCTTGAAAAAGACAATTTCCATCTTCTGATGTCAAAGCCCTGTCATAAGACGCCTTGGTAAGACATTTCATCAACAAGTCAAGTCAAAAACGGAGTACATTGAGTTAAGCACATTGAGTTACTGGAGTATCAATGATCTGTGAACAACCTCCTGATTCCTCAAAGGTGTGCAAGTGTTTCCGAGTACACATCTAGCCATGACTGTCAAATGGTCATACTCCTTTCACTACAAGATACAAAGTCTAGGACACAAAGAAATGTAGTACATTTACACAATGGAGCACTACTCAGCAGAAAAAAAACGATGAAATCTTGAAATTTTCCGGCAAATGGATGGCACTAGAAGAAACCATCCTGAGTGAGGTAACCCAGTCACAAAAAGACAAACATGGTATATACTCACTTATATATGGATTTTAGGCCTGAAACAGGGGAATTGCCAGCCTACAATCTCCAGCCAGAGAGTCAGGGAGACAGGGAGGACTCTAAGAGAGATATACATGGTAACCCAGAGAAGGGAAACAGGACAGAATCTTCTGAGGGGAGAGGAAGACATGGGGGAGCAGGAAAGTTGAGTAGGGGGAAGAATATAGGAGAGAAGGATGAAAGATACCATAATAGGAGGAGCCATTATAGGTTTGAAGAGAGATCTGGCACCAGTGAGATGTCCAGAGGCCTACAAGGATGACACCAGCTGGCAATCTAAGCAATAGTGGAGAGACTACCTTAAATGCCCTGCCCTGATAGTGTGATTGATGACTACCTTATATGCCATCCTAGAGCCTTCATCCAGTGACTGATGGAAGCAGAGGCAGATACCCACAGTTAAATGCTGGGACAAACTCCTGGAACCCAGTTGCAGAGAGGGAGGAGTGATGAACAATGGGGTTATGACTTGGGGGGGACCCACAGAAACACCTGACCTGAACAAGGGGGAGTTCATGGACCCCAGACTGATGACTGAGAGGCTAGCATGGGACTTACCCAGACCCCCTGAACATGGGTGTCAGTGAGGAGGCCTCAGCATCCTTTGGGGTCTCAGACAATAAATCAGCATTTAGCCCTGTCATCCAGATGGACTTTGGGAGCCCATTTCACGTGGTAGGATGCTGTCTCCTCCTGGACACATGGGGGAGGGCCTAAGCCCATGAAGGGCCTCACCCTCCTTGGAGAATGGAGTGAGGATTGGAGGAGGGGTTGAGGGAGGGTTGAAAGGGGGTGTGAGAGGGAGCTGGGTTTGACATGTGAAGCAAACTTGTTTCTAATTTTTAAAAAATTTTAAAAAGAAAAGAAACACATCGTTTCTGCAAAGAGGCCCAGAACCAGACGCCCCTACGTCCAGTCTACGCAGTAATCTCCACCCTCTGGCATGACTGGACCTGGTGACTGGTGCTGGTCCGGGGATGACTGCAGAGGTCTGAAGGGGCCGGGGGGGGGGAGCGCGCGCCTTTTTGTGTGGCTCCTGGCACCCGCTGGATTGGCTCTGCCGATACTGCCCTCGGAGTGGGTGGAGCCAACCGTTGGCCCTGCCCCATCACCACCCAGTCTCAGCCCTGAGTGATAGCAGAGGGAGCGCACCTCTCAGCAGCCAGGCCTGTGGACCTCTGCGTCGGGTTGGGGAGAGCTGCTGCAGAGGCTGTTCTTCCCAGCTGTGGACTCCAGAAGGACCCCACACTCCCTGCTCCCTTCAGGTCTCTCCTTAGGGTCGCGATTCGGCTGAAGGGCTAGCAGTCCCGTCCCCCTTTCCCTGTACTGACTGACTGACTCCCACCCTAACCCTGTCTGCTTTTCCAGCTGTCCGCTGCGGTTCCCAGAGCACCGCAGCCATGGGCATCCGAGGCATGCTGCGAGCAGCCGCACTCCTGCTGCTCATCAGGACTTGGCTCGCAGAGAGCAAGGACCCCAGTCCAACCCCGAAATTCCACTTCGAGCTCTCCCCCAGCATGCCTGAAGTCATCCTGGATCTCTTCAACTGGTAAGCAGCCCAGCCTAGCTGAGCATGAAAGGGACAGGGATAAGCAGGTTTTGGCCTCTTGGACAGAGTGGGCTGGGTGCAGGGAATTCGGACCCGAGCTTGCCTAGGGGATAAAGGGGGTATGGGAACAGCCGTGAAATGATAACTCCTAGCTTCAACCCACCTGTTACTGCTGCGTGAATACCATGCCTATCATCAGCCCAAGCCTTGGGGCACGGAGCATCCTCACCCCAGAGTCTACCTGATCATCTTCAAGGACTGAGGTCCCTGGCAGCTTTTCCCAGCTGTGTTCTCTGATGTCCATGGGACTAATGGGTATGAATGGGCAGAAAAGACACCTGTTTGAGTAAGGGGTTTTAGCCCATTTGCTGAAGCTGAAGCTCTCTCTCTCTCTCTCTCTCTCTCTCTCTCTCTCTCTCTCTCTCTCTCTCTCTCTCTCTTTCTCTCTCTCTGTGTGTGTGTGTGTGTGTGTGTGTGTGTGTGTGTGTGTTTCAGATACAGCAGATAGAAATGAATAACTGTGTAACTGGTAGCTTTAAATGGCATAACCTTCTGGCTTAAGAGGGGTAAGCTTTTGTGCTTACTCCTGTGAAAACATTTGAAGATTTCGGTTTTTCTCTCTGTTTGATTTAAAGTTTGTTTAGGTCTGACAGTATCCGAAGAGGTAATCTGTCATCCTTGACATGTAGATGACACACACACACACACAAATGTGTACTTGTGGTGGCTACAGATCTGGAGTGCTGGTACATGGGAAATTCTGTGGACAGAAACAGACAAGAATGCATTTCTTTAATTTGGAAATAATTTATGCGCATACTTTGAAATGTTACAAAATTAAATTTTATGATTGAGGGAAATGAGGAATAATTTTAAGTAGCAAACTAGAAATAAACATGTATTCAGAAAGGGGGAGTGGTTAAGCTGGGCAAGGTTCCAACAGGCAACCCTGCAGTGCTCTCAACCCAATATACCAGACTGCGTCACACACGGGGGTTGGGGGGTGAAGGAGAGATGGAGGGACAGAGAGGGAGATACACACAAAAAGAGACAGAGACAGAGATTGCAGGAACAATGCATCAAAGATCCAAACAGTCACAGTTATAGTGATGCCTGGGGCCTGTCCTCATTTAAAAGCCCTTTGGGGATTGAATGCCTAGATGAATTCAATGAGCATCTCAGAGATCTCTGGAAAGACTAGCTCTATGCAACTGAGATGGCTTCAATTACCTGTGCTCACCTAAGCAACCTCCAGACTGAAAGCACATGTGGAGTGAGTGAGATGGATATTTTCGAAGGCAGCTCTGAATCCCAGCAATGAGGGTCATAAATCTCTGCTACATTCCAAAGACACTTTCTCCCTGCCCCCACCTCTCTCTTTCTGCGTCATATGTCGTATGCCAAGTCTCAAGCACAAAGTTGACCAGATAGAAGAAATGGGTCTTTGAGCTAAAAAAGCATGAGCTCAGCTCAGATGAGGAACATTTGCCAGTGGGAGCTGACTTCCTGGGGCAATGAGGTACCCCAGGGACACCTCAAGGTATAGTTTCTCAGAGAACAAAAAAGATGCAGTTTTCTGAGGGTCTCATCTGCCCACCTTGCCTTCTCTCCTGTGGAGCACTTTCCTCTCCAGCCACCATTCCCTGGTAACAGGGATCCAGTCCTTGGGCCCCACCCTCTGGATTAAAGCTGTGAAGGGGGAGGGGGAGAGGGAGGGGGAAAGAGTCTGCATCATTGCTGTGCTTCTGGCTGACTCACTGTGGGATGAAACGGGAAGAAGGGAGGGAGACAGCACAGATACATAACTGGACATGTTTGCATATGTACAGGAGCAGTGATGACTCTGACAAACCAGCTAGAGGCCAGTGGGCCACAAGTCAACCAGCATTTACTCATGGCTTCTCTGTTTCAGCAAAAGTTGTGCAAATGAAGCTGTAGTTCAAAAGATTTTGGACAGGGTGCTGTCAACATATGATGTCCGACTGAGACCAAATTTTGGAGGTAAGCCAAACCCAGACACCAGAGATAGAATCGAGCAAGTTCCATCCTGTAAGCTAACCAAACTATACCTCTATCCCCCATCCTACCTTCTTGAGTCTGCCAAACCCTGCAAGGGAGCACCCCAGACTCCCAAGCTCAGGCCTGCTCTCTTCCTGGAATGTACCTCACATCTTTGTACCAATGTTTCTATGCCAGAGACTTTCTTTCCCTCCTTACTCCCTTCCAAAGGCGTTGCAATCCTTAAGTAATTCAGAGAATTCAGAATTGAGGCCATGGTCTTCTCTGCCTCTCTTGCCTAAGCCACCTAGGCCTGGGACCTTTCCATGATATCCTGCTTTCCCAGGTTTTCAGCTCCCACCATATTCAGTCCATCTAGCATACTGTTCTACATGTGTTCTTCATAAAACTCAAACTGATGGCCACTAACAAATAAAGTCCCAACAACACAAAGATGAAAAATGACAAGGAAACTGGTACATACGCCTCCAAAAAGCCAATGGGTACTTTCTAGATTCTGCCTGCCCAAACCAAGGACAGACTAAAGAAGAAGTGCTTTAAATTGGGGTTCATTAATTTTCAGCTCAAAGACAGCAAAAGGATCTACAACACAGACAGCTTCCTGTAGAATGGAACACAGTCTAATGAGTAATCACATTTGTGCTCATATGTAACCATCTTCTAGAAATACTGTGCTACCTTGAAAACCAAGGAGATTTCCTCCACTACAAAAATGGCAGAAGGCACAAGCCAAGGGCTCCAAACTGAGCATGCATGGGATATCAGGTTGGAAAAAGCAGAAGGTACCTAATACCTTCCACTACTGAGGCCATAGTGGTGATACCTTTTCCATGTGGATCCTCGAGGGAAGAAGGAATATAGAAATTCAGGTGGTAAAGTACAGTAAATACTCCTTACATGATACTAGTTGTGAATCGTTTGTACCAAGTTCCAAGAAATATTTTATTCATTTATTTATTTATTTATTTATTGTCTCCTTCTGACTCTAATATTTGTCAGCAAAGGCCAAACAATAGCAATCTGCATGTAATGAGCACACACCCCCCACTGTCTCAGGCACAGGCTGTCATCCATGCAGTATCCATGACTAAAAGAAGAGAACAGAGGCAAGAGTGCACCTCTGCGTATTGGCCAACACAGTTGGTCCACAGTAGACCTAAGGCCCCTCGCCACCATCTTTCATGTTATACCAAGTATTATGATCATACCAGGCTGTCACATCTGATAAAATATGGACCCCTACATTGATTTTGCCAAACAGATAGAGGCAGTAGAGAGGGGGCACAAAGATATTAGGACCACCTGCCATTTAAACAGAAGGCAACACTATATAGGTTGTAAGGGTACTATTACATGAGAGAAATATGGTAGAAGACCCAATGATGAGACAGCTACGCTAGAACATCCAGGGTTTAGGAAACCCAAGGCTCCCTGTATAGTCTCCTAATAGACAGAGTCCGCTGTATATTTAAGATGGAAAATAGTCTTAGGTCTTAATCTTCACACATAGGAATGTTCCTGACTCTCTCTCTCTCTCTCTCTCTCTCTCTCTCTCTCTCTCTCTCTCTCTCTCTCTCTCTCTCTCTCTCTCTCTCTCTCTCTCTGTGTGTGTGTGTGTGTCTGTGTGTGTGTGACACACACAGGAACATGTCAGAGACATCAAACATTGTACAGTAAAGGAAGGCATAAGGTGTTTTTGTCATGGGCTACCTTAGCTAGTTTGTAAGGTGGCCCCTTTTTAGGTAGAGAAATCAGAACAATGTCCCCTTCATCTGGTTGTGTTCCTGTGCCAAATCATGGCTAGGCATGGAAAATATACACTGCATTTCAGTACCCAGTCCCCCTTATGCTAAGAGTCCTTTGGCAGGCTTCTGTCCTGTCCCTTCAGTTCTACAGCATTCCACATAAGAAAGACAGCACTAAGTTGGTGGAAGGCGTGGGCAATCAGGTCTTGGAGAAAGGGACTGAAATGTAGGCCTCTCTGGGACTTTCTGGGGCTTATTGCCTACTAACTCAGCTTCCATCTGCTAAAAGTATAAGGAAAGCAGTCTGAAAGGCAGCAGTCAAACACAGTGTGTCTAGGTAGCTCTGTCACTACATAGCATTTTCCTGGGGCTTTTCACAATAGCCCTGAGTGCTAGAGTCTGAGATGTGCCCTAAAAGAACCCCATTTACTTCTCAGGTGCCATTCATATACTTATTCCCCAGAGCACTTTGCTCTTTGAAGCGCTGGATTTGAAATAACACATTTTCCTCTCTTCAGTTCAGCTTCTAGGCAATCAACCTGCAGTGAAATCAGCAAGCTGAATTGCAAGCATCACACTTGCACATATTTCCCTAGCAGCAGTATGATGTAATAGACTTTGGTGCAAACTGATGAGAGAATAGTAAATTGTATTTCTCCATAGTACCTAACAGCTTACTGTTTTCACAACCATGGTCATATTTGAGTCTCGCCAATGGAAACTGAAAATACACAGGCCTAAGGGGTAAAAAAACAGGAAGCAGAAAACTGATATAGAATTACTCACTCAGTCACAGTTGCACATTAATCAAGTCACCATCACACAGTATTCATTCACATGAGCACACTCATGAATTCATTCACATAGACACACACAAGGATGATACCCTCATGGAAATTCACCCATTAACACACACACACAAACATGACCTAAATTCACACATTAATATACATGCAAATGGCCATACACACACATGCATATAATATATATATAAGCAACATACTTGATCATGCACAGCACACATAATCACAAAATTAATTTGCCCACATAAATACATACATTAGCTCACACAATTAGACATTTACATGAACACATTCATACTTATCAACATGCTCTCATGTTTATTGCCTTGAAAACACATGCAGGAAAATACATCTATACACACAGACAAGTTCACAAACATACCTATATATGAATACATTTGATCGCACATTCACTCAACACAAATATGCTCATACTTAGTCAATTATGTCCACATACAAACACCCAAATACATTCATACATAAGAGCAAAGATTAATATGCTCATACATATACACATAAATATTCTGACCCATTGACAAATCAGCAGCAGTCACATGTGTTCACATGTATATATAAATATGAGTGTGCACATATGTATACTTAAAAATTCACTCATACTTTACTATACAGTAACATATTAATACACAAACATATTCATATATGCAAATATAACTATAAATTGTGTCATGTTATACATTATCACATTTGTTATATCCAACCACACAATTCACTCACACTTATATTTACTTACATGAACATACTTCCTAATTCATTCCCACATATGGACAAACATTGATACATTCATGCACAGACAAACTTGGTACCTATTGATGCATTCAAATATGCCCACATACCCAAACACACCAGCAAATTTGCTTATACACATTAACATCCTTACATATACATGCTTACAGCATCACACATGACCATAATTACATTAAATAAAATCCATATTCTCTCACACAAATATGTTCACATACACTCAGATTCACTGACAAGCTGAAAGGGAGTACATATTCAATAATATGCACATGCATGTTAAGATACACACATACTTTTGCATTTACTCACATGTGAGAATGCTAACATTTTTTCATATATATAAACATGAAGACATTCACACAATACACAAGCATGCTCATACTGACACAGGTGAGCATCCTCATTCACTCACACATCGACCTGTACACATATCACCACCATATGATAGACTCACAGAGATACTAACACATATTAAATCCACTACACATACTCAAACAGATGTGTGCGTGTGCGCGCGCGCGCACACACACACACACACACACACAGACATGTGCATACGTTCATTCACCCAGAAACATTATCACACATTCAAAGGACATACTATAATACAAACTATCACATCCACTCATATTTCTGTAAAAACATACTCATACTCATTCACATGCTCATGTGTTCACTGCCCTATAAGTACATTCACACATGAATACAAGTTCATCCATACACACAGGCTCACAGACACCTACATATGAGCATACAAGATCACACATTCATTCACATACAACTGTACTCACACCATACTTTCACATACATGCTTGTGTGTGCTTGAAGAGTATTTCCACATAACAAACTGAAACAAACATGCTCACACATTCCTACACATTCCTTCACACAACATTCAGTCACACATATGCCACCTCAGGATAAATATCCTCATTTTACACTCGTGCTTGAATTCTCTCATATGTTGTCCTCCTACACAACACACTGGATCACATAACATGCCCACACACTCACTCATGCACTGACATGCTCACACACACATATGGACACATTCACATGAATATGAACACAATGCCAAATTTGCTAGCAAACATGGACATGCTCACCTTCACTCACCCAGAAACATGAATCTCAGCCCTTGTTCCTAGCTGAGTTTCAGCTCTTTATCAGAAAACATTTACCACAGAGTGCTTCGTTTCATATTTTCCTTTTATGTTCACCTTATACCTTCCTTTCAGCATAACATGAGCCAGGCCTTGCTCTAAGCATTTGACCTTCATTAACTATGATAGCATTTATCCCCAAATGACCCATGAGGAAGCTCAGGCTCAGAGAGATTAGATGAGTTACTCAAGATCACACAACCAGCAAACATCAAAACTAGTTTTAGCCTAGACAACTGGTTCTAAGTAGATATTCTTTTTTTGTTTTGTTTTGTTTTTAAGACAGTTTCTCTGTGGCTTTGGAGGCTGTCCTCTTGTAGACCAGGCTGGTTTTGAACTCACAGTGATCCGCCTGTCTCCGCCTCCCGAGTGCTGGGATTAAAGGCATGTGCCACCACTGCCTGCCTCTAATAAGTACATACTCTTAAACTTTATCCAAATGTTCATGTGATTGTGTCTTCCTGTATTGTAGGTGCCCCTGTGCCTGTGTCCGTATCTATCTATGTCTCCAGTATTGAACAGATCTCAGAAATAAATATGGTAAGTCTATAGGTTCTAATCATGATGCTGGAGACAAGGGGCAAGAAGAATAGTCATAAGCCAACTCTAAGTGTCCTGACCTATGACAGAAGTCACATGACAGCCCTCTGGAATAGAAAAAGGTCAATTGAAGGTCTACATCACAGCATATCCCAAAATTAAGTTATATGTACATTACAAACTCAAAAGGAAATCTATGAAGCTTTTAAAAGTGCTACTAGCACACTATCTTTGTACTGTAAAGGTTTACTTCATAAGACACACAAATTCCAAATCATAAAAACAAATATTGGTATTTGATGTAGGCAATTCTGTATAGCCGAAACTTCTGAAACTTCAGTTTTACAAAACAAAGCCACTTTGGTGAGTGAAAAGGTAATTCAGAGTAAACAGAGATATTTGCAACACAGGGCTGGTATTCAAAATATGCATAATGCCTGAGGACTGATAAGAATATTTTAAAGCAATCAAAGAGTATCAGCAAATACGAATGAGAATTGTACTTTTGTGAAGAATTCTAAGTAGTTGATGAACATATGAGAAAAATGTTCGACCTTGTTAGTAATCAGCAAAATAACCTCACAGTGAGAGCCCACCATGTACATATCAGATTGCCCAAAACAGGAGTAAGATGCTGCCAATGTTGGTGAAGTGTCACCTGTTCTCAACTTTTGCAGGGATGCGAAAAGCCACTTTTGCTTTGCCATTGTTATTTCTTCCTGGTTTGGGCATGTATGGTGCTTTTTCCAAGGTTATATACATTGTGTCCATATCTGGAAATATTCTCCAGGAATACAAGAGATCAAATTATAGTTACACACAGCAACTTTAATGGGCCTTGCAAATACAATATTGAGGGGTTGAGGAACAGGTTACAGACATACAGTTTGGTTCGATTAGATAACATTCCAAAAAGAAATCCAAATAAGCACTGTGTTTCTAAAAATACACATGGTGACAATGAAACTCCAACCTGAAGCATGGGAAATACTGTCATAAAATCTTGAATAGTGAGTATTTATGCTGGGTGTGGGAAATGTCCTTTGAAAACGACATGTTGGAACTTGCAAGTTGTTGGTGACATTCTGTTTCTTAACCTAGGTATGTATTATAGCAACTTCATTTTTCTGTTCTTTCTTAAACATGTTTATGTTTATGCACCACCCATCTGTATGGTATGTTTCATATAATATGTGTGTGTGTGCACATATGATCTATGTATACAGAAGACAGAGAGCTAGACAACCAACCTGACAGCTGTCATTTCCTTATCTCTCCCCAGGACTATACAATCACCATGTTTTTGCATCAGACCTGGAAGGATACACGCTTAGCATACTATGAAACTAACCTGAACCTGACTCTGGACTATCGTATGCATGAGAAGCTGTGGGTCCCTGACTGCTACTTTGTGAATAGCAAAAATGCCTTTGTTCATGATGTAACTGTGGAGAACCGTGTGTTTCAGCTTCACCCAGATGGGACAGTGCGATACGGCATCCGGTGAGTTCATGTAAGAGTCTTGGGCTGTTCCAGCAAGCTTCCTTCTACCTACTGTGTATCTCACAAATACATTAGAAGGAATATATAGGGGAGATTGCTGCTTTCTAGATCTGCCTTGTGTGCAAATACACTTTCAGAGTTTGCCACAGGCTTCCTAGGCTGCCCTGTCCCCACACTTTGGCTTCTGCTACTCCTCTCTGCAGTAGCCCTTTCTTTTTTCTGTGAGTCAAAACTTTGCACATTTTCACATGCTTTTTCCACTTCTTGATTCAAATGTCTCCCTCTTCAAGAAATTCTTAAAATGTCCCATGCTGGGTAACCGACTGGTGGAAAGCATGAGGTCCCAGTTTAGATGCTGTAGCCAACTTCTGCTCTTCCAAATATGTCCTTTAATGGGAGGTTGTATTAAGGAATCTGAGCACACTGGGAACAGTGTTACTTTCTTTTGTGACAATAAGGAAAGGAATTTACAATGTTGCCTAACATTTGTGAAAGAAAATAGGGTTTCCATTAATTTTTGTGTAATTATCATATAGATTTTTAAAAAAGAAATACCGATTCCCTGGACCAAAAGACTTGTTCCTTCATTTTTTCTTGTGTGTGCTGTATTCTTTATTCCCCATGCCATGAAGCAGGGAGACTGATGAATGCTAAAGCATTTGCCGTGAAGAAGGTGCTCCACCTCTCCCCCCTTCCTTATGTTTGCACCATGCAAGGTGTCAGGAGAAATGGGGAGCTAGGGCTATAAAAGAGGGGAGCTGGGGGGCTTCTGAGTTCCTGATCTCTTTACACACAGAATACATGCACACTGGGGGTCTCCACTTATCTTTTTGCAACAGAACAGTCACCAAGTTAACTTCACAGTTTCAGCTCAGATTGTCAGTAAAGGCAAGCTGAGAGGTCATCTTAGGTCAGAAAAAGTTTCCTGGTGGTAGCTACCATGGCTTATTTGACGTTGGGTTTCTCTTACTCTGGGGTGCTCTCTCTCCCTTCCTCCCTCCCTCCCTCCCTCCCTCCTTCCTTCCTTCCTTCCTTCTTCCTCTTTCCACATTCCCATGAAGTCATTGAACACCAGTGCTTACCTGAAACTGATCAATAATCACTCACTCTTATTTAAAGCAAAGGAGGCATTGACTGATGGATAATACTTGGGAAACTCACTTTTGAAAAAAAAAAGAGGAAAGTCCACACACATATACATACTACCCACTGTCCAGTCCCCAAAATGAAACTCCTACAAGGATTGACAAGGACTAAGCTAAGTTAGCAGACAGGAAAGGAAGCAGAACAGATGGGACGGATATGAAGCAGTAGAGAGCTTTTTTTCTTTATGTCACTTTCAAACACATCACCTCCCTGGCTCCTCCAAGGCCATTATCCCAGATTCCTCTCTTGGTGCACAACATAGAAACTTGATGTTTCTTCTGGTTGTAACTACTGTCAGCACTGTCTGGGTCCTCCAAGGACCCATTTTGTGCCTATTGACATCTTTCTACCTCTTGGTGCCACATAGGCCCCACTACTGACACAGATGTAGATATGGTCAGAGGTGGGCCTGGATCATTGCCCACATCTATACTTGCACACCACATACCTGCCTTCCCCTGTGGCTATGCAGCCTCAGTACCTTACACGTAGCACGCGATGTTCTCTCAACAGTCTTGCTGATACTTTTACGTGCACAAGTCTTTCTGTCTCTGTATTGTTTCCTCAAACGCCCTTCCCATTCCGTGTTTTTTCCGGCATGACATATATCTGCTTTTTGTTTCAGCTCTCACAAATCTTGTGATTCTTTATCAAATTCCAATTTTATCTCTCTTTCTCGCCTTTTCCAAAACTCCATACACATGGGTCAATCTCCCACCTAACTCTTGCCTCCCCATCCTGCAGAATCCTTAGGAATAAACTTGAATCATTTTTCCTTTCCTTTTTGGTTTTTTTTTGGCAGACTTACCACAACAGCAGCCTGTTCTCTGGATCTGCAAAAGTTCCCTATGGACAAGCAAGCCTGCAAGCTGGAGGTGGAGAGCTGTATGTATTTCTCCTAAGTGGGGCTGCTGTAGTCAGGAGAGCATGAGTAGAGTTGACACTGACAGGAACAGCACAACTCTTCTGCTCTGCATTCCCATATCTCTTCCCAAACATGCACAGAAGCAGCAGATACATAGTAGATGAATTATAGCTACACAATAAATTAACAGATAGCTGTATACATCTGGCATCTGGGAGTAGGTGGCCTTTAGGGTGTAGGTAATTCAACTGAAAAGCTATACATATTCATGGGTAAAAGTTCATAACATTTTTGCTACACATTCCTTCCTGCCTAAAAAACCTCCAATGTGGGAGCCCTCCCTTTGCAGGTATTCAGAATTCCCCCATTTTCACACACAGAAAACACACAAAGTGCCTCCACATATTCCAAGTACCAGATTAATTATTTGTTTCACCTTCCAGATGGCTATACCATCGAAGACATTGTATTATCCTGGGAAGATGAGAATGCCATCCACATTACTGATGAGCTGCACATCCCTCGATTCACCTACTTGGGGAAGACAATTACTAGCAAGGAGGTGTATTTCTACACAGGTGGGTCAGATCCCCTCTTTCTCTCCCATTTCTTGTCCCCTTTACACTACTACAAACTCTTGGGACATCTACCTTTGATCCTTATAGTTGGCTCCCTGCTTTCACGTTCCTTATTCTGAAAACATCTCCCCCCATTGACAAAGCCCTAGTGGCTAATGACTCAACCCTACAGATAGAAAATAAATATGGAAGGCTTTAGCAGGTTGACAATACTCTACAGCTGGAAATGATTCCTGCTCCTCACAGGGTTGGTCTCTCATTCTCCATCTGCTTACAGCCTGAGAAACATCTCATGTGGAATGAGTGAGGCAGAAGGAGGTTAGAGCTGACTTGCTGTGCCACATGGTTCTGACACCACTGTGTGTTCTTACAGGCTCCTACATGCGCCTGATAGTGAAGTTCCAGGTTCAGAGGGAAGTTCACAGTTACCTTGTGCAGGTCTATTGGCCCACAGTCCTCACCACCATTCTCTCCTGGGTATCATTTTGGATGAACTATGATTCTTCTGCAGCCAGGGTGACAATTGGTAAGTCCTCTCTATCACCATCTCAGGAATAAACTTGAGTCATTCTGCTTAGAAAAAGAGTAAAGGCAGAACTGGGAAGACCTTGAACTTCGGATCTAAGTTTGGGGGAGGCAAGAAATGTTTTAAGCAAGAACAGCCTAGGATATTGGGCTTCTTGGTTTGTTTTTGCCTTCTGTGGGGCAAATTGCTCTATCTTTTCCTTTAGGTACACAAATACAGCTATATGTGTGATATTTTAAGGTTTAGAAACCCTCTTAAGATACTAAAAGAAGACTTGTATAAAACTGAAAATGTAAAGTACTTAAACCATGGCTAGGAATTTGAACTTGATCCACAGCAATCAACTGGTGAAGCACAGGGAGAAAGGAACAAGGAGAGGACATGGGCAAAGCCTCTACCCCAGAGATGGCCTCTGCTCACCTCCTTTGGAGTGTAGACACGGTGGCTTGCTAAAACTGCACTTATCAAGGGATACTAAACCTGTACTATGTTGTCCATAGGCCTAACCTCTATTCTCGTCCTGACCACTATCGACTCACATATGCGGGATAAACTCCCCCGTATTTCCTGTATCAAAGCCATTGACGTCTACATCCTTGTGTGCCTGTTCTTCGTGTTCCTGTCCCTGCTGGAGTACATCTACATCAACTACCTTTTCTTCAGTCAAGAATCTCGGCGCAATCGCAGGAGATGCAAGAAACCCAGGAGAGTTGTTGCCCGATACCGCTACCAAGAAGTGGTAGTGGAAAATGTGCAGGTTTGACATTTTGACTGACAGCCAGATTTCCCTGATCACCTCCTCAAGCTAGGCTTAACACTTGACCCTTTCACATTTTATAGTTGCTTTAATCCTCATACATTACTTATATATGACAGCCATGTTCACACTCATTTATAGATGATCATTATTTGATATCACAAAGCAAGAAAAGTCAGAAAACTTGATTTCTCTAGATCTTTGAGGCAAATTTGCTCCATTTTGTGGGCTTCTAGAGCAAGTGATGAAACAAAAAGGAAAAATGAGGCCCAGGGAGTCAGATACCAGAGAAGCTGGCCTTCAAATTTTTCCTTCACTGGCACTTCAGATACCTGAGAACATACTGGGTCTTTTGCTTTGGGATATACATGAATGCCCAGCAACACTACTCCTTTGCAGAAATCCCAGCCTCACCCTACCTGAGAAGCCCACATGTAGCGCACGTCACTCCTGAGATCACAACTGCCCCCCAGAGACAGTTACTTGGCTGCAGCTATGACATTCTCTGCATGCTAAAGCAACTTCCTGGTCTAGTTTCTCAATCCTTTTGAGCATGCCATAGAATCCAACAGGTTATCAAAGACATCAACAGTAGCATTGCAAGTACTAATCAGGAAAGTTCCCTCTTTTTTCACTTCCTGAATTTATGCCCACTAGGTAATATGAAACTAATCAACTTCTCCATTATTTCCTCCAAGGATGGCCTGATTAATGTGGAAGACAGAATGGAAGACAGAGTTGGGCCCCTTCCTGACAGCCCCATGCAGGCTCATCTGGCAAGCCCGGAAAGTCTTGGATCCTTGGTGTTAACCTCAGAGCAAGCCCAGATCGCTACCTCAGAAAGCCTCAGCCCACTCTCTTCTAACTCAAGCCAGGCCCATTTGGTCGCTGGAGAAAACCTGAATGGTCAGCCCTCCACCTCTCAGCAAACACTGCATGACTATACCATTCACTTTCATGGCTTCCTCACTAATGACAGCATTATCCCCATCAAAATTCACAACCATTCTGAGCTCCATGGTGATGAAGACTCCGAAGAGAGCCTAAAGTCTGATGAGAGTCATGGCCATGACAGCAACCCCGGTGGAAGGTTCATGCTCCACAGTGGCCAGAGGTGTGTGCAAGAAGCAAGTTGGGACCTTGATAAGATTGAGAGCTTACAGGATGACATCAGTATCAAGAGCAGCTGGCTTGGCCTTGATGAACTACACAAGGGGGATGCTGACAGTATCTGGAGCCTTACTGATGAGGAGCTCATGGCCTGTGACCAAGAGAAGGACAGTAGCTCAGAGTCTGAGGAGAGTTGCCCCCCAACCCCTGGGTGCTCTTTCAATGAAGGGTTCTCTTTCCAGCTCTTTAACCCTGACTGGGTCCCTAAGGTTGATAGGTGGTCCCGTTTCCTCTTCCCTCTTTCCTTTGGGTTGTTCAATGTGGTTTACTGGTTGTACCACATCTATTAGTTTCCCATACCCCACAGCAGCAGAGAGACTATGATGTGTTTCCTTCATACAGTTTCTTTGGTTTTGTTTCTCCCTCTTCCCTTTTTTCGTTATATTTGGTAGTTGTTAGTGTACTCAAATCAGTTGGGTCCTTTTCTTTATTATGAGGTGGGGAGGAGATAGAGAGAACATTTAGCCAGAGGGCAAGGGATTGAGGAAGACTTGAAGATAAATTGCACATCGATTTCCTCCTGCTAGAAGATTCTTACCTTTTAAACACTTTAAAAAGCCCATCAGCCTAGAAAGGCCCTTGGAAGTGTTTAGAGGACAGAGAAGAGCCAGGATGAGGAATGAGGAGAATCTGAGCCTGGGAGCTTTAATTTTAGTCCCCTGAGTGTGTTGAAATTGCTTTTGCATCATTTTTTCTTCTTCCTGGGTATCATGCACCTTGTTCACCTGTTAAAAAGGGCTTTGGGAGAAGTCAAGCCAAGCTGGCCCGGGGTATACAGAGAAGTGGCTAAACATGGCTTAGATTTTCTGACAAGAGGAGATCTGGGAACCATTTGCAAGTGCCTTGTACTTTGAGTATGGAGTTGTGGTACAGGAGTTGGAAGTGCAGGTGGGAGGGACTGCAAAGAGATATAGCAGGGTAAGTAAGAATGCATGCTTCCAACAGGGGTATGGAGAACATGGGTGGTGATCATGGGTGGTGATGTCAGGCTGGAATTTTTACATGTTCAGCTGTTCCCTTTCAAGTTACTAGACCTCCTCTTGCCTGTATTTCTGCTTCACATTGCCTGACAGTAGGGACTTACTACTTCTGTTCAGTTAAGAGTTAGCTTTCTAACACTTGCTGAGTTGATTACTAGTTACAATAGAAGCACTTGGTGAATAAGCATTAGTTGAGAAAGATCAGACTTGCTATTTCATGATCAGTCTAGAATAGCATATGGACAACTATTGTGAATCTATATACTAATCCTTTCTGTTTGTCTAGTGCATAGTAAGTGTCAACGAGCTCCCTGACCCATCACATCGTTGGATCCTCACAGGAGCCCTGTGAGCCAGGGAAGACACAGCACCTTGTCCCCAGTGTTCCAAGGAAAAAGTGGAGCTTGTGTGCCATGCTTATGGATGCTTGTTCTTTCTCCTTGTTTGCCCAACTGTCAACTGATGCACTTCCCCTACTGCCCCTTTCCTTTGCTCAAAAGGACATCCCTAAAGAATCTACCTGTCAGGCTACCAAGCTCATGGACAGCACCTAGAGCAGCTATGTAGGAAGAGGCTACTGAGCAGCCACTGACCATGAACTAAGCAAGTGGAGAATATGGCCCTGTCCTCTCAACAGGACTCCTCATGAGAGTAGGATGAGCCTGCACACCAACTTTCCAGGAAGTACCAGATTATTGATGGAGGTCATGAGAGAGCTTTTCCAAGCACTCAATCTATGTTCCCCCTTCTTTTATAGGCAACCTCTCCTTCAGCCCTATACCCCACTTCTTTAACTATACTTCTGTGTTTGTATGTTTCTATGTATCCCTGGGGATGAGTGTGCATGCATCCAAGTTAGTCTATGTGCCATACAACCATTTGAGAAGTTTAATAGCACTACAGTACTGTAAATCTATGTTAGTATGTATGAATGCATATCTACATTGTGTGGATGAATAATTTATGTGTATGCAGCTCTATTAGAGTGTGAGTTGTGTACATGTGTACTTATATTAGCACTGGTGAATGCATTCTGTGTACATTTCTAGAAAGTGTATGTCTGTATACCTGTGTTTATCAAATTTAGTTGATGTAAAAGGACATACATCAAAAACCACATGTATTCCCTGTTGGAGGTTCTTGTAGAAACATCAGGACTCTGGTGACCTGTTTTGACACAGTGGCAAGAGTCTTGTTTAGATTGACTGACTGTTTTCTTTCCAGTTCTAGGGAGCCAGGGAGCAGGGTCTATTGGCTTCCATCAACTCCTCACACTTCCTCTACCCATCTCTGCTGTGTCCTGGACAGAAGACCCAGGGGAAGTGAACATAGTACTAAGAAGTGGTAATGTTAGTGCCTTGGAGCTACCGAATAATTGAGTAATTGATCCATGGGATAAACTGGGTGTGCTGAGCACTTTTTTGGTGCAGAAAAGTACCAAAAATTTAACTGGGAATAGAAATAATGTGTGGGCAATGGTGTACACATTCAGAGAATTGAAGAAGAGGTTGTTTATAATTTTAAAATTCATTCCTTTACCCTACTCACTATGTGATCCTGACACAGAGGAGGATTTGTTGCAGCTATAGACAAGCATGCAGTGAAAGGATGTGCCCATAATGTTGGGTGCCAGCAACAGCATTATAAGAATCAAAGGTTCCTGAGATGGCTGTGGACAAGAACTGTGGTGGTAGGCCTATTGGAGAAGTACATTTGTAGCTCATCCTAGGACAGCTGTTGGCTGCTTGAGTAAGCCCCAAACTCTACCCTCAATTTGGAATTTGAACATTTATGACTTTAACTCAATTCAAGGAAAGAGTCAGAGAAGTATAAGTGAAAAGGCCCAAGTACTGACTAGATGGTCCCAGTGTATTGTTCCTTCTCTTCTCCATACATATATGCAGTTCCAGACTCTTACACATACACACCCAGCCACACATACCTACACTATCACATATGCATACATTCACATCAGAAGCATTCACACTTCTACTTATGTTTATAGGCATAGCCAGACATACGCACTCACAAACAGACACACACACACTCACACATACTTATAAGACAACTCAAAACAAGGAAGTTACTACTAAAATGTGTAAGATTGCCTCTTTTGTTTAGGAACCCAGAACAAAGGTGTCCAGATTAAAGGGAGACCAGAAAGCTCTCATCTGGAATCTGAGCATTCATTGGCTGTGCTCATGGATTTGGAGCCCTACAATCTTGAAGTATTGAACACATCGTTGGAGTAAAGTTACAAAGAGTAGTGGGAACAAAGGGACAGCAGAGGAAGGTCAGACAGGCCAGTTGTAAATATCCACATAGCTAGATGTATAATACCCTAAAGACTATTTTGCCCTATTGTGCTGCAATGAGAGCAGTTAAACTCTACTGCAATTCATACTCTGTGAGGTTAAGTGTCAGAAGTGCTGTGGAGATTTGGCAATGACAACTTTTCAGAAACTTGAATCTTCTGGTTTTCCCATGGCTGCGGTCTTTCTTACTTGAAAGTTGCCAAGTCTCCCCTTGTGTTCTGTGTGTGGTGTGTCATCCATTGTCAAGCCTGATTCCAGCTGTCCCCAGTCCCCCTCCAGTTATGTAGGCAAAGCCTCTCTATCTGGCTGCCTGTGTCTCCTTTACAATGTCCCCCAACACCAAGTAGTTGTGGAAGTGCAGAGCATCTGAACAGTGCTCCTGAGGTTCAGCTAGTCTAAGAGCTTGGACAGAAGGAAGAGCCTTACTGAATCTGGGATGGAGCAAACCCCCTTTACTACGCTATCCTGTCTTGCCTTCCCCTTATCTTTTATCCTAGAATCCCTAACTGAGCAGGATACCAGCTGTATGTCTTTCCACAGTGTCATTTTATTGAAGAAATGTATGATGCATTTCCTGCCCAGTTTTATTTGCCCTGTGAGGTATCTACAGAAAGAACAATCTGTTGGGTCTTAATGGAGTTCATCAGATGTATTCTTACAATTTGTATCATCCTTGTTAATATCAAGGCTGCAAGTTCTTAGCATACTTAAAAGCAAGTTTTGCTGAGATTGTGACCATTCCTAATGAGGGTTCCTTACTCTGTATATACAGCAGCTACACCTTCAAGCTATTAACTACTGAATGCATTCACTAAGCACTCCATTTGCATGATACCCTGTGGTTCCTAAAGCAGGGACTTTCTAGCTATTCCACAACCCAACATCCAAGGTAATTATAACTTCTTCTAGCAAAACTGTTTGTGTTTGCTGTATAATATCCTGTGATTAATATGAAATCTACATTATCAGTGTTGGGCTTTCAAGAGAGGGAGAATGATGTTAAAGTATCTATCTGATATACTTAAATAATTAAATATGCCAACTTGTCAGGGTCATCTATGTGGAACTGGGTCAGAATTTGCACTCACCAACATGCCAGACTGTATCCCTGGAATCAGTATTCATCAGCAAAGGTAAAGGCACCAGAATTTTACACAGTACTATAGTAGATGACTTTAGATAATACTAGAGGATTCTTCCAGTGTCAACTAAGTCAATAACATTCTGCAAGCAGATGAACTATGGTAAAATCACATACATACAGATCTTCAGCAGTAGTATTAGGCCAAGAGAGTGAAAAGCAAGAAAATAGAATGACCAATAGCTGGGTCACCTGGGTGGTCTGACCTGCAAAAGTCACAAAGTAGCAGAGCCTCACTGGATAACCCGGTGCCCACATTGAACTCATTAATTGACATTCTTGTGAGAAAAAGACCTTGACCAGTCCTGACTTAAAGAAAATGAAACATAAAGCAGAAAATTATACTTCTGTAATGAAAAATATACAGAAATAAAAACATGTAAATAGCAAAATGCAAAATAAAGATCTAAAATAACAAATAACTCTGGTAGTTCAGCGTGTTTCCTCTGTATTAGATTTGCAGGTGAGACACTCAGAAGGGTCTGGCTTTCATTATTCTTCATGGTTTTCAAGAGGAAGGGAGTTAGCAACACTGTCAATGAATAATTCACAGTTTCCACAAGGCATTCATAGTCATTGGAAACAAAAGTTTTAAGACACAGAAAATCATTATAGTGCAAAAACATGATGTGGACATTTATACACTCTGTGTAGGGGAGAAAGTAAGAGAATTGCTATTTATAAAATACAAAATAGTTTTGTTTTCATCTCTACCAAAGTAGATGTGCAGAACAGTGATCAAGAAAGTAGAGGGTCAAAACAAAAAAGAAAGTAGAGGGGCCTAGTAGCTGGGCACAGGAGAGCTGTCCCTGCCCCTTGCCAGCCCTGGGAGAGCTGCCCTGCCCTTCATAGGAGTTTTGGTTCAGGGTGGCCTGGGTTCAGGAGAGCTGGCCCTACCATTTGCTGGCTCCCTCACTTGGGAAAACTGACCCTGCCCCTTGCCAGCTGCATCAAGGTAGCACAGATGGTAGCATAGGTGTGGGAGCACTACTTTCAATGGGTGAAAAGCTGCCCCTGCCTCTCATCGTGGGGGCTTCCTTGTGCAGGCCCAGCATGACCAACTTAGCTACTACCCTGTCCTACATGCACAGATTTGTATAGGTCCACCCCAATATCTACCCAATCTATGATCTTCTCGGGTACAGGAAGGGACCGGTCCTGTGGAACCATAGCCACAGAATCTCTGTGACTGGGGCAACAGCAAGATATCTGAAAGGAGTTTCAGTGAGGGTCTAGTATTGATGGTGTGGCAAAAGCCAGAGGCCTTAAACCAGATCAATAGCACTTCACACAATGAATATTTGCAAGTAAAACTGTTTGGGCAAAGGCTATGCTGCACAACATACTGCAACTCCCAATACCACTACAATGAACAACTATGTGATAGCATGGCGAGCAAGATGGAGGAGTGAAAGGGTTTTTGTTTTGTTCTTTCCTTTTGGGAGGAGAAGCTACAAGGGTGGAAGGTGGGCATGGAAGGACTGGGAAATAGGTAGGGTTCGGGTGCATTATGGTGAAATTCCCAAAGAATCAATAAAAATTATGTTTAAAGAAAGAAAGCAGAGAGGCCAATGGTTTAGGATTAATCTTGATTAAAAGCATTGTAAAGTCACAATGAAACATCCTAGTGATGGAGAGAATCATTCTTTCTTTGTAACCCCACACTCATCAGAACATCTCCAAGTACCTTTTGATGAAAATGTGAGATCTTAAATCATGAACTCTAAGACAATAGATCTCCACTTCCATTGGCTGTTTTGTGGCCTAATCAGATTAGAAGAGCTGTTCAGGGATTGCTATGATTGTCTGCCCACAGCTCTTAAGGTGGGAGTAGCTGTATATAAAAATTTCCAGAAATCTTTTTTTTGGTATGGTGTATGTGTGTGTGTTTTAATAACAATTAAAGAAAAACATGAATTTTCGAGGGAGCAATGGAGATTACACAAAAGGGATTTGGAGGAAGGAGAAAAATAGGGGAAACTATAGAAGTACATTTTAACTTGAAAAATGGTTTTAAAGAAGTGGCTTAGGTATTGTCAGGACTAAAGAAGAAGACTGAAAGAATTCTGAAACTCGGAACAGAGGAAGTAATTTTATTTCTGTGGTGACCCCTGAGAAGACTCACAGGCAGGGTGACCAAGAAGGTGCTTCCTCACTTCTGTGAAAACCTCAGTGCACTTATAGATAACGATGGGGCTGAGGCAATTGTCTAGCATCCTGGTGAAGGCTGCTGACCTCTAGAGACTCTGATTCTTCCCTTAGTATAAGTTACGGAATGTAACAGCCACTAAATTTCATCTGGGAGAATTTGGGGTGAGAACCTTATTCTGAGGCCCTCATTTAAGACCTGCAGAGAAGACAGAACCTGAGCATTTAGAATTCAAGGTTATAGTTTAAGGTACACTAGAAAAGCCTCACTCTGAGAGGCTTGCTCTTTTCTGAAGAGAAATGGAACAGTAGCTCTGGAGGGGAGGAGAGGTTGCAGGACTGGGAGGAGTGAAGGGAGGGGAAACTAGTTGGGGTATATTGTTATGAAAGAGGAAGTTTTTTAAATCTCACTCTAGTTAGAAGAGCCCCAAATAATATAGATGTTCCTCTGTGATTAGTCTGGAATCAAAGTGGAACTACTTGTACAAAAAAAAAACAATAATAATAAGCTTTCTGCTTCCACCACATGCCTTAAGCCTTTTTCTGGGGTCCACTGAGAAGAAGTGGAACGAAGATCTGTGGGAAAACACAGTGAGACTCTGAGGGTAAGTGAGAAAACCGCAGTCCTCATAAAGGGTCTCCAAATAACCCAGCTGCACCCGTGCTTTTTGTGCTGTACCCTAACCCGACCACACGCCAGAGGGTGGCGCTATGCTCGCGCCTTCTGCCTTGGTGGATTCTGGGACTTTAAACCCAGTTGCCAGTTTGCCTGAGGCGGGAGCAGACGGAGGAGCTGTGAGGTGAGTGGGTAAGACTTTGGGGGTGGAGTGAGGGACCCTAACCTCAATAAAGGAACCCCAGATATTCTGACGACACTGATGTCGTGTCCAGGACTGTTGTTGCGTCCCGGAAACTGACCCGGGAGCTCGTGATAGGAATTAACCATTCTCCTGCATTTGATGGCAAAGTGGTCTAGGTAAGAGGCATTATGGTTGTGTTTTGCTTGGTTGTTTTCATTGTTTGAGATAGACCCTTACTGTGTAGCCAAACTGGCCTTAAACTTGGCACTACTACTTCAGCCGCGGCAGGGCCATGAGTAGAAACGCGACACAGCATGTCTGGCTTGGGAGCCATTTTGAATGTAGAAGGCACCAGTTCTGTGAGGGATTGAAACCCTGAGGGTGACCTACAGAAGCACAACCCAAGAGAAACAGTCAGCATTTAATGCAGCTTGGTCCTTCTGGTTAGTCTGGCACCTCACTTTTATCCCAGTGGACTATGGGATTCAGAACTATGAGGTTGGTGGAGTGAAATACCTAAGCTCTCTGAGGTAACAAGTTGAAACTCTAAGGTAGTATGCAATTCCGTGAGAGCAGGCCTCCCACATAATAATCCAGAAACCCCGCCCTAGTCCTTTCCTCCTCAGTTGACTCCTAGATCATTGTCCTTTTGGTTTTTGTTTGATAGGTTTATTTTACTTTTGTTTATGTAATATGTGTGTGTTTGCAGTGTTCTAGCAAGTGAATTCAAGGCCAGAGGCAGGCAACGGATCCTCCAGAGTTCGAATTACCAGAGATTTTGAACCACCCGAAGTGGGTTCTAGGAATCAAACTCCACTACTCTTCGAGAACAGTAAGTTATCCAGTGATCCATCTCCTCGGTCTCTGCTTTGGTTTGGTTTCAGTACAGGATATTCTCTATATAGCACAGACTGCCCCAAAACTTGCTTTGTAGACTAAATTTGCTTTTGAAGTGTCATCTTCTCCAGCCTCCTTAATGTTGAGACTACAGGCATGTGAGACCATCATCACCCCCAACTTTTTGATGGGGATTACAAGACAGGGTTTGTCTGTGTAACTGCTCTGGCTGTCCTGGAACTTACTCTGTAAAGCAGGCTGGCCTCAAACTCACAGAGTTCCATCTGCCCCTGCTTTCTGAGTGCTGGGATTAAAGGTGTGTGCCACCACACCCAGCTTAAGAAACCTGGTCTATAGAGCAAGTTCCAGGACAGCAAGGGCTACACAGACAAACTCTGCCTTGAAAAATCAAAAATAAAAAAACAAACAAACAAAACAAAACAAAAACAGAGGAGGAGGAGGAAAGGGGGAAAAGAAGGAGGAGGAAGAGGAGGAGGAGGAGGAGGAGAAGAAGAAGAAGAAGAAGAAGAAGAAGAAGAAGAAGAAGAAGAAGAAGAAGAAGAAGAAGATGATGATGATGATGATGATAATGATGATGATGTTTATTTTCTGAGGTTCAGGATATGTTATATGTAAGACTCTGGAACTGACAAAGCCCCTACCTGACAAAGGGACACACCTTGCCCCATGTAATCAAGTGGTGACCTCCACCTCCCCACTGTAGCCCCTTCCTCCTCAGTAGAGATTCCCAGAATCAGAGTTGTTATCTTTTTGTCTTTTTGGTTGTTGTTAGGTTTGTTTTTGTTTTTATTTATGGGTATGTGTGTATAAGCAAGTACAATCAGAGACTTTATCTTTGTTTTTGTTTTGAGTTTTTGAGACAGGGTCTCTTTTTTTGGTTGGTATATTTCATTTTGTTTTGAGATAGTCCCTACTATGTAGCCAAAGCTATCCTGAAATTCTGTGTAAATCAGGTGGGCATCCTGAGTACTGCGATTACACTTAGTTTAGGAAACATTATTGAGAGCCAGCCTCTGTGAAAAGATTTGGTAAGATCTTGAGGGTAGATTGAGGATGCCCCAGTCCTAATAGTATCTCAAAAAAGTCTAACCCCAGCTCTTATCTGTCCTGCACCATAATAGGGTGGGCTTTTTCAAATGAGAATCAAGACAATCTATCTGCCTCAGTAGACTTTGGGATTTGGAGCCATATTCTAAGGTCCATACAGCAAAGAGGACCCAGGGGTCTGTGGCAAGATTCTGAGAAACTCTGAAGGTAAAATAGATGCCTCAGTCCTGATAGCAGAATCTCAATCTATTTGTATCACTTTTGTTCACCCTATATGAAGTGGTGGTAACTTGGAATGAGCCCTTCCACTTCCTTTTGCCTATTTCAATAGACTCTGGAATTTAGAACCATGTTCTGAGGTTCATTGAGCTGAGAGGGCTGTGTTAGGGAACATTGTGAGACCCTGGAGATACATTTAGAAGTTTTCCGCTGAGGGAGATACTCTCCCCGAGAATTATTTGATCCTGCTTCTATTTTAAGCCCTGTATACAAGGACTGTCCTATTACTCCTCCACTTCAGTAGATTTTGGCACTTCAACTCCTGTTCTGAAATCTGCATAGCTCTGTGA